ACATTTTATTATGTGTTGTTTTAAAGAACATTGTAGCATTTCCCTTCTAAGCTGCATTTTAAGCCCAAAAGACTCACACTCTTTTTATTTTATTTTATTTTATTTTATTTTTATAAATTAGTACAATAATTTCCTATTTCTCACTTGTATTATTTTTGCTGATTAAAGGTAAAGTTCATTTCTACTTTACTAAGAGGGCTGGTCTGCGTTCCTAATTCCCTCAAACCCTGAAAAAAATGGAAGCTTTAGCATCCAGTGTTGATGCGATGCTCTCCGCTCTCTCCAGTTTTATTTCTGATCAATCGCCCGCTTCGGAGTTTCTCAACTTTGCCTGGAAAAAGCAGTTTTTCTCCCAACTCAGCATGTGGGAGACTCTTCTGCCCGAAATCAATGCCCTGCCCCCTGACGCACAACAAAACCACACCGCCAGTCATGCCCTCAAACTCTGGCTCTCCGATTTAACAGGCCTTGCTTACGATACTGAAGACGTCATTGATGAAATTGACACCGAGGTCCAGCGCCGGAGAATACTAGGACACACCCAATCTGGCACCACCAGCAAGGTACGCTTCTTATTTCCCCCATGTTGTGCTGGTTTCAATTCAAGTGGCATTAAGTTTAGCGGGCGGCTGGGGGCAGAGATAGAAGATATCACTACTAGATTTCAACAGATTCTTGAGCAAAAGAATGTTTTGAAGTCGGGGGGGAGAGGTGGCCGAGGGAAATTGGAGACAAAAAGGGAGAGGCTGCGCTCCGTTTCTTCTCTTGATGATGAATCTCGGGTTTTTGGCAGGGAACAGGATAAACAAGTCATTCTTGAACGGTTAATGGATGGTAAAACTGGTGTGATTTCAATTGTCGGAATGGGTGGTGTGGGCAAAACCACGCTTGCTCAGTTAGTTTACAATGATGATAAAATTGAGAACCTTTTTGAGTTGAGAGTTTGGGTTTGTGTCTCTACGGAATTTGATGTTATTAGAGTGACTAGGACTCTGCTGCAGGGTGTTACTTCGGAGAGTCTCGATTCCAAGGACTTCAATTCGCTTCAAGTGAAACTAAAGGAGATGCTTTCTGGAAAGAAGTTTCTGATTGTTTTGGATGATGTTTGGAATGAGAACTATGTCTATGAGGAATGGGAGGTTCTGCGCACACCCTTCGTGGCAGGAGCACCTGGGAGTAAAGTACTTGTAACCACTCGAAATGAAAGGGTTGCATCCATCATGACCACATATCCGGTATACCATCTGCCCGTGTTGTCTGACGATGGTTGCGTTTTGTTGTTTGTCACACATGCTCTTGGTGCTAGTAATTTTGATGAACACCCGAAGCTAAAAGGAATTGGTGAAGAAATAGTGCGCAAGTGCAAAGGCTTACCACTGGCAGCCAAGACTTTGGGTGGGCTTCTGCATGGTAGAGTAAATTCTGATGAGTGGGAAGATTTGTTGAGGAGTGAGATGTGGGACATACCAGAAGAAAGGAGTGGCATCCTTCCTGCTCCGATGTTGAGCTACCATTATCTTCCTACTTATTTGAAACGATGCTTTGCCTATTGTGCCATATTTCCAAAGGACTATGAATTTGACAAGAATGACTTGGTTCTACTATGGATGGCTGAGGGTTTAATACAACAAACAAAGGGAGAAAAACAAATGCAAGACATAGGTCTTACATATTTTCATGATTTAGTTTCAATGTCTTTTTTCCAACACTCAAGTAGCAACAAAAAACTGTTTGTTATGCATGACCTTATAAATGATCTAGCTCAAGTTGTTGCTGGAGAAATTTGCCTTCATTTTGAGGATACCTTTGAAGACAAGCCACGTGCATTGTTGCAAAGCCTCGTCATTTGTCATTCACTCGCCACCAGTATGAGATTTCCAAAAGATTTGAAGCATTAGACCCTGTGCAGTGTTTATGGACTTTCATAGCATTGCCAATTGATACATCATCTGGGGCAGCATGCTATTACATAAGTAGTGATGTGTTACAGGATTTGCTGGCAAAATTAAGATGCTTAAGGGTGCTATGTTTGAGTGGATACGGCATAGATGAAATACCATATTCTATTGGTCATCTGAAGCATTTGCGGTACCTTAATTTGTCTCACAGTGCAATTAAACAGTTACCAGAATCTGTGGGCAACCTATTCAACTTAAAACACTTTTATTGAGAGGCTGCAGGAAGCTTACTCAGCTACCACAAGGTATTGAAAATCTAATTAACCTTCTTGTCCTTGAGCTTACTGATACTGAGAAATTAGTGGAGATGCCATTGCAAATAGGCAATTTGAAAAATCTTCAGGTTTTGTCCAAATTAAGTGTTGGAAAGGACAATCGGTTTGGCATTAGAGAATTGAAGGACCTGAAACATTTAAAAGGGGAGCTTTCTATTACTGGATTGGAAAATGTGGTGAATGTTCGAGATGCTAGGGATGCTAATCTAATGGACAAGCGTGGTATTGATGGCTTATGTTTGAAATGGAGTGAGTTCCTTGATCATCAAAATGAAGAAGGTGAAATGCGTGTTCTTCCAACGCTACAACCTAATAAGAATCTGAAAGATCTTACAATTTCATTTTATGGTGGTAAAAGATTTCCTTCTTGGTTAGGAGATCCCTCATTCAAGAATATTGTGCACATGAAGCTTAATGACTGCAGTAAAAGCGTGTCACTTCCATCACTTGGGAGACTGCCATCATTGAAGAAGTTGTTCATCCAAGGCATGAATGGAGTCAAGAAGGTGGGTCTTGAGTTTTATGGAGATGATTTGCCTGCTACTGAGAGGTTTCTGTCATTGGAAATTCTGTGGTTTCAGAATATGTTAGAATGGGAACATTGGTCTTCCACTCATAAAGGTGATGAAGATTTAGCTGATGAATTTCCTTCTCTTCATGAGCTCATGGTACAAAATTGTCCAAAGCTGACTGGGGACCTACCAAGACACCTTCCTTCCCTTGTGAAGCTTATCATTAGTCACTGCCCAAAGTTGGAGGGTTCACTTGTGAGCCTCCCCTCCCTTTGTGAATTAAATATTGAAGATTGCAACAAGGTGCAACTGAAAAATTTTGTTCACCTTACTTCCTTAATAACACTGAGACTCCGAAGTATTAGGGACCTTGCATGTCTGCCGCAAGAGATGCTAGAGTCTCTAGGTGCACTTCAAAGCCTTGATGTTTCCAATTGCACTGAACTGACATCTCTGTGGCAGAAGGGTACTAGACTGAAAAACATTGTTTCTCTTGAGCATCTAAAAATTAAGGGCTGCTCCAGATTTGTGTCTCTCATAGAAAATGAGCAAGGTCTTTGTAGTACTTCAGAGGATAATGACTTGATCAACTGTTGCAACTTGGAGAAACTGACTCTCAGAAGTTTGCAAATTGAATCATGCCCGAAACTTGTATCCTTTCTTGAGACAGGTTGCTTGTCCAGACTTAAACATCTTAAGCTCAAAGATTGTGCAGCTCTTAAGAACCTGCCTGATTGGAAGATGATGCTTAATTGCAGGACTAGTGATTGTCTTCTTGAAGACTTGGAGATTGAAGAATGTCCTTCCCTGACATGCCTTCCAGGAGGCAATATGCTTACCAGGTTGCAAAGGTTGAAAATCCAAGGTTGTACAAATTTGCAGTCTCTACCAGAGGGAATCATGCAGAAAAATAACAACACAAACATGTGGGATCTTAAGAGCTTGGAGATTGATAATTGTCCATCTCTAACATGCTTTCCTGAAGGCATATTACCATTTAGTCTTAAAACACTGAAAATTTGTGATTGCTCAAAGCTGGAACCACTTCCACAGCAGCTGCTGCACAACAATGCATCACTTGAATACATCTATATGCGGAACCATACAACTCTCAGAAGTTTGCCAGAATGCCTATATAGCCTCACACATCTGACTGAGTTAACTATAAGTAATTGTCCAGCTTTAATCTCACTTCCAGAGCCAGGCCTCTCACCCACTTTGAAAACCTTAGAAATCTACAGTTGTGCCAATCTCAAATCTCTACCTGAGAGGATGCAAAATCTTGCCTCTCTTCAATATCTAACAGTTTGTGACTGTCCATGTCTTGTGTCGTTTCCCAAAGGGGGTTTGTCCCCTCAACTATTGGTACTGGAGGTCTGGGATTGCATGAATTTGAAGGAGCCAATGTCAGAGTGGAACCTACACTCTCTAGCCTCTCTTAAAGAGCTCATCATTGTTGGTGCACTGGATACAGCTTCCTTCCCAGATGAAAAGTGTCTGCTTCCTACAACCCTCAGTTCTATAGTCATTTCTAGACTCAACAGTCTGGAATCTCTATCCACAGAACTGCAAAACCTTACCTCTCTTGAAGAGCTAGAAGTCAGCGATTGTCCAAAGCTTCGAGAGTTGCCAAGGGAAGGAATGCCTGCAAAACTTGGAAAACTTTCTATCAGAAACTGTCAACTTCTACAACAACGCTTAAAGAAGAAAAGGACATATTGGCAGTTGATAGCCCACATCCCTTGCATAGAAATAGAATGGTAATCTCTTCATGTTTTCAGTTATGTTTAGATAAACTCTTGTTGGACTACTTAATCCTTGTTGCAATGGACTTTGCACTGCATAGGCAGATTGAATTCAGAAAAGACCCAGCAGTCAACTGTTGCAAGTGGGCTGTTTTTTGGTATCAAATTGTAGGAGGCTGGTCGTGATGGATTCTGGCTGGATTATGAATGTATTTTAACGCTAAGTGGGTCACACAGTATCTTAATGTTAAATTGGTTACATAAGTCTCTTATATTTTTGACTTGTGCAGATTTAAATACATTTTCTCCGTCAAACTTGGTATTACAGCATGCTACATACAGAGGAAATAAAACACATTTTAGCTTGAACGCTGCTTTGTGGTCCATCTATACTTGTATTCGAGGTAATCTATCTTCTTTTTTACCTCAAACACTTAACAGGATTGAGGCATCATGTAATAACTTTGGTTTGCTGTTGGGTTTCTGCTAAGAGAAATTAAAGATCCCATGCAAGTTGCCTAATTAATGTCCACATTGCCATACCCTGCTGATACCATTATACTCAAGATAGGCTAAACAAGAACTTTGAACTGGACAAGAGGGGAGATTTATTCGTGACAGTTGAGAGTCATGCCATTGTTGTTAAACTAGGTACGATCAGTTTCCAGTTTGTAAATCTCATCCTAAGTCCTTCAGGCCTCTATTCACTTCTAATTAATGTAACCTTATGCTTCTCCAGTTTTCAACATCTCATTGGCGGTCTGTTGTTGTTGGCATTTTCCTGTGTGCTGTTTTGTTTGTTGTTGTTGGAATGCAAGTCTGGAGGAAGTTTGGGGGAAAGATATAATGCATGTTTGGCAGCTTAAAACTGGAGGACCACTTGTTAGGGAATGGGTAAGTCATCTTCAGCTCCCTAAAATATCATTTGGAACTTTCAAATGCTATATTACTCCTTTTTTTTTCCCTGGCAGCAATAAAAACTGCTTGCTTGGCAGTTGGGTCTTCCCTCTGGTTCCACAGACGAATGAATGTTTGGACTGGATGAGAGAAACTCATCCAAAACTCGTAAATAGAGAGTAACTGTCTCAGCCACCTGCTGTCTATTTTAGGCCAAGAGTTCCAACAAGAACCAAAGCAATGCGTATTCTCAGCATTGTAATTCTTTCAAGTGTCTCAGAGCGGGGCTGGCATCCAAGCACTGGCAGCATCTTCCTTGAGCTAGAGGATTTCCAACTTCTGAACATTGGATGACGCTCATTGGTTCACAGTGGGCAGAAGCAACCATTTGTACACATACCAGGTACTTGTATCAGCAAATAAACTGTACAGTTGATTTGTTCGAGAGAGCTACAAGATTGGATAATCCTTACCTCTCTAGGGACGTTCTTCTACCTAACTTTATGCTTACATCATAGGAGTTTGGAAGAAAGAACTCTGCAGTTTCGACACATTCCCTGAGTTCTGTAGGCTCTGTTTATTGTCATTTAGAGCCAAATAGATTTTATATCTGTTATTTCTTAAACAGTCTATAGTATTTAATCATGGCATATAAATTTCAATTTCTTCAACTAGAATTATCTCTGCTACCTTAATGGAGGAGTGTTCTACAAAATAAATTCATAAAACTTCTCTAATGTAACACCCTTAGGAAACAGAGCAGACAATACGAATGTGAAAAACCAAAGTTTATTGGCTACCAAATTGTACATCGAGTATGATCTCTCTGATTTAATCAGCAAAGAGAGTTGCAATACAGCAAGTCTAGGGCAGTTATGATACAAGACAGAAAAAAGGGCCTATTTTGCAATGTTCTCCCAACATTTTTTGCGAGGAATAACTATATATCCATCCATCACCTTAAAACTTCACCCAAAAAGTAACATCTACACCTGCATTTTGATAACTCCTCTGTTTCTGGATAACACCATCATGCAAAGGATCACATCAATTGCAAATGGGTCTCTAAGTCATTGGAATGCATTTCTCTTGCGGATTCTTTTCTCTTGTGATAATGATCAGGAAACAACCTGGCAGAAGAATAGTTTGTAAGAGACCCAAGATGGTAAAACAATTTCAAGTAATTTAATATGTATCCTATCATAGCAGCATAAGGTAAGGAGAAAGAACTATATAGATATGAATGGATAGATGCATACAGGGAAGGTAATAAAAGAAAACATGATAGCTTCCATTTTGATAATTCTATCTTTTACATCCAAAAAGGAGAAAACAAGCCTGATGGAGACCATCAAAAACCATAATACGACAAAGATGTGAGCTGCAAAAATGAGGATGGAACTTTCTTTTGTAAGGTGAAACATGCCACCAAGTCTGCTATGCTTTCCATAGGTTATATCAAACAAAAAAAACTTCCTTTTGTAAGGTTAGACATCTAATGGTATGCATACACACACACACCAGCCTAAGTTGTAAGGACTAAAAAACAACATCACCCTTTATAAATCTTATTCGAGGAATGACAAACTGCCAGAACACAATCCAAGATGATGGTTCATATTCCTCTTATTCTAATGACCCTAAAATGAAGCAAATCTTAGAAGAACTAAGTTAAACTACAACTGAGTATTGCCATCCCACCATTAATGGATTTGAACCTGTTACTCTTAACAAACCCAAGTTGGTGCATACAGACAAGAGGTAGTCTTGTTTGACACATACCACTTCTACTTCTACAAAGATTATAATGCAATAGTTGGCCAAAAAGACATCAAACTATCACAGAGATTAAAAATTGAAATAGTCTAATGATGACTCAGAATGGTCCAATAAATACTTAATTTACCTTTGCATCATGACTCATTAACAACACCTAATTTTTTGCAGAACTGAAGATAAAAAAATTTGGCAAACTGTTTCAATTGCTACTCAAAATTGAGCATGGTGGAGAAAAATAGCAAAACAGAAACCTAAATCATAAATTTTAAAAAGTGAAAAATGAAGGGTGGTTCTGTCATCCCAAATACTAAATCAGATAGGCCAATTTTAATGACAGAAGGACAACAGAAACCATCACATAACCACAAGCTTACTGATTGGTAACCAGTGCATATGAATGTAACCAAGAGTGCAGATTTTCTATAATGTATTATTACTTTCATAGACAAACCAACAAT